CAGGTGCTGGTGGGAGCGCCGCACTCCTGCACCTGCGCCGAGTTCCTGGCGGGGAGCGGCCTCTGCGCGCACCTGTGCTGGTGAGGCGGGAAGGGCGGGTCCCTCCTCACAGCGCCCTGCAGTTACCCACACGGAGCCGTTCCCTGGTTCTTAGTGCGGGGGAGGTGGTGGGAAGTAAATACGGTTATATATCAGAGCAGGTGCATGTATGTCACAGCAAAGATAAGCCCGGTATCAAAACATGGCACACAAGGTCCATTTCAGATTTCAAAAGAACCTTGCAGCTTCCCCCACAGCCCCTGATCTCTCCCAGCTTCTCTCCTCTCATCACACAATTAACACTTTCTCTCTAAGACTCTAGCTCTTACAAGGCTGCTCCATTTAAATTGTAAAGTTGAACTAACAACTAACTTGACAGTGATGTTCTTACATGTCAGATCTTTTGATTGTAAATTGTAGGATACTGCTGAGAAAATACCGCTTACCAAGAGATCATGAATGTAAGTACTTCCCTCTCTTGTATGGCTTGCATGTAGAGCTTATGAACTTTAAATGGATGAAGCAATGTCCTCCAGAGCTTCGTTAATTTTTTTATAGATCACTGTCTTGTTCCTCCTCTCCCTCCTCCACTAAAAAAAAAAAAAAAAAAAAGGGTTCTCAGGCATTTTCCAATTTGTTTCAGTTTTTCCTGATAGAGAACACTTTGTGTTATATCACTGATTACAAGTGCAGTTTCAGGAAAAATGAAAAGGCAGAAAAAGCAACAAATTCCAATATATACAGTAAAAGCTATACACTTATAAAACCACTTTGTACTGAAGTTAATCCAGTGCTCTCAAAACATTCTTAGTGGGTAGACACTGACAAATTTGCTGCTTCATTTAATAAGAAACTAACTATAGAACTACAGTTCATCTTATATCATTTTTGTGTAGTGAGTCCTTCAACATAAACTAGTACAGCTGCAATGACTTTCCTAGCTTAGGGTGACATTTCTACTTTGACATCATCTAAACTGTAGTATTTCATGAATGCTGCCAATGTCATGGAGATTACCCTCAAACTCACGGGTATGTGAAGAATGTAATCTGTGCAAAATGTAATTACCAATTTTGACATCTGTGGCTTCCTGTCACCAAAACCACAAAGCCACCTAATCCAGAAGGTATAATCTATACAGCCAGGTTAGCTTTCTGACATGAATCAGGATTTTAGGCTATTATGAGCCAGATTCTCAACTGGTTTGTTACATTTCCTTTCCTGTAACTTTAGAAACTCCAGTAACACAAATAGCATAAATATCCCACAAAATAATTACTCTAAAGATCTTTTCCCAAGTAGTAACAAAGCAGCTAAATACAAACCAACCTTAAAGAATGGCCACCATTCAAGAAGTTACTTTTTAAAAAATATTTACACACAAACCCAAACATCTTGTACATAAGTCAGAACCTAGCTTGTATTTTTCTATCTGAACTAGATTTTAGAACATTTGACACTCTGAAGTTTTGTACAGGCAAAATAACTTCAGTAGAAAGTGAGCTTGTTTTCATCTTAAATCAGCACTATATAACTACTTTCTGGCTATGGAATATAGTGATGCGTGGTATCAGAACTGTACCCAGACTGAGTTTCAGAGAAAAAATTCATTTGCCATAGCTAGCTGTTAGCAGAGGAATTTCCTACCTTGCATAATTTTCTGCTTGTGAAAATAAGAACAGCTCAAGGAAGGCCCTTCAGTGTTTTACTGAAGTGTCAGCATTTGGTTACAAGATTAGCCTATTGAATCTTGAATGAGAAGCAAAATACATTCAATTCACAAGCATCAGGAATTATACTAAAGAAATAATATTTACTTTTTATTTTTTCCATGTTTCAAAAGATGGTGTAAAGCTTAATCTGGGGTTTGAAAAGCATTTTTAGTCTTTTTGAACAGAGGTCACTAGACAGAAAAACATTACGCTATTTATTTTTCCAAGAAATAATATTTCTATAAAATCCTCTTGTTAATTTCCAGTACTTAGAAGCAAAAACTTTTCTACTCTGACTTAAACGTATCTATAAAGGCCTTCTGAGATGGAATACTCTTTTGATCACCATGTTTAGTCAACAAAATTTAACTTATTAAAAATTATTGAAAACTTCTCAGTTTAGAAACATTTTTGATTCATTTTTAACTTGGACACCATTTTAGATAAGAACTTGCATAAGCAATATTGTTAGAGAATTTCTATGCAAGTTATAAAAAACAATCTGCAACATTTTTTTGGCTGGAATGCACTGCATGTATTTGACAGAGTACCTAATGCATTTCATAGATGGAAAACTATTACAAGTGAGGTAAGTGCAGAGTTCTGCCAAAACACTTTTAGTTTTTATGTTTACTCTTGCTAGATGCTTGTAAGTTGGGTCTTCTGGAAAGAGAAATTGAAGATGTGCTTCAGCAATTACATAAAGAACGAACACCAAATACAGAGGAAACTCTCTTCTCTAATTACATGAAGAACAAACACCAAATACAGAGGAAACTCTCTTCTCACAAACATTACACCAGGAGAATGATGGATGTATTGAACAGAGAGAAATTGATGAAGACGACGTTTGTCCCATTTGTCAGGACGAGTTATTAAAGAAAATGCTTCCCGTCACTTATTGCAGGTTAAGTATACAACTTGTGTTTTATCTTGTTACATTTACAATTATAGAGTAAATGTTACAAGTTGTCAGGAGGAGTTATTCAAGAAAATGCTTCCGTCACTTATTGCAGGTTAAGTATACAACTTGTGTTTTATCTTGTTACATTTACAATTATAGAGTAAATGTTACAAGATCTGTTAACATAGCTAGCTTCAATACACAAGGAAAAATACCTGACAGTTGTTACAGCCCTTTTCCAATCTGGAAAATTCGGCAATCCTACAAGTTCAATTGTGGGTGGAGGGAGGAAAAGAAAATGGAAGACTACTTAGTATTGGGAGGTAATTTTTTTTTATATGCTTCTGGAGAGATTTCAGAAATTGGTATTTGTTTTCTGTAGATACAGCTGTGGCAACAACGTTCACATAGAATGTATGAAAATTTGGGCTGACCACCAAGATGAACTGGAGAACGACTCTGTAGTGAAGTGTCCACTTTGCAGAGAAAAATTTGCACCTCTGAAGCTCATTCTAGAAGAATTTAGAAACTCTAAACAACTTGTGACTGCAACAGAGAAAACAAGACTGGATAGGCACCTTGGAATCCCTTGCAATAACTGCAGAGTATTTCCAATTGTAGGAAAGTGCTACAAGTAAGTGTTTTTAAACCAAGATTTTGACAGTGCTATGTCTTTGAGTATATCTTGTAGCTTGTCTCTTATTTCTCTGTCTTTATTACAAGTAACTGATTTCACCTACAGAGTAGATAATATGTGCTTTGCAAACAAACATCTGTGGTAAACACAGTCAAGGTTTTTATTTTTAAACTTGTTTTTAGTGCAGTACATCTCCAAACAGTTCTGTAGTATGTATTTTGGATTCCAAATTCATTTCCAAATAATAAACTTAGCTACTACTTTATGAAAAAGCATTAACCACTTGTTAACCTAGCTCCTTATTCTGTTGATGTGGTTTTGTTTTCCCTTTTAGGTGTACTGAGTGTGTTGAGTATCACCTATGTCATGACTGTTTCACCAGCTTTTGCCATTCTCCACATGTTTTTGTTTTTAGACAGGTACCAAACAGGATTTCTTTTTTGTATTCTACCCTGACTTATATAACATTAATTGATCTCAATTCCCCTTATTCAAATCATGCGGACCTTGCATTGTATTAGACTTACTTAGCTGCAAACTAAGTAGCTAAAAAAAGATATTGAGATAAGCAAAAATAACATCATAAACTACGCAAACTAAGCAGCTAAAAAAAGATACTGAGATAAGCAAAAATAACATCATAAACTAAGAGCTTAATTGTCCTCTGCCTGTATACGTCACAGATGCAAATACATCCTAGCTTACCGTTGCCCCAGCTGCACGCCTCGCCAGCTAAGATACAGATAGCTGGTTTTTTTATACCATTAATTCACTATGTAGAATCAAAGCAGAGGAAAAAAAAAAAAAAAGATTACACAACCATAAATGGATATACTTATGTCTTAGAAGTTAATTTTGCTGCCACTTTGTCTCTGGATTTCCAGAAATCTCAGCAGTTTAAGTTTGAGAGAGTCACCTTACAAACAATAAGAATGTCTCCAAGTCCCAGTTGAAGACTTCAAGTAGACTTTCTTTGTTCCAGGCTTTACAAAAGTCTGAATAAGACATTTAACGTAAGATGGTTAATTGTATTTGCCACACCAAACACAGTTAGGAAACAGATTTGTTGAATTATTCTCAGCCCCTTTTTCATAATTTACAAGAGTGTTTATCCTCTCTATCTTGAGTTCAATTTGTCTCAGTTACTTTTCCATGTTACAGAAGAGAAATAAGAAATGGAGAGCTCTTCGACAGCTTTCAGAATTATCAGCCCAAGGAGGAACATGTAACCCTAGAAGTAATTCTAAAGAAGAGATATTATATCTTCAGGGGAAGTAAGATGCTTGTTTTTTTCCATACTAGCTGTCCTGACAAACATGAAATATTCTTTTAACAGTTTCTTTAAGCAGTATCTGAAGAAAGGACAATAAAAATATTTTAATAAGAACGTACAATAATTAATACTTCTAATAAAGCAACAAGTCATTTTAACATAGATAAAATTAAACATATCTAGAAAACTAAGTAATTTCTCTTAATGTAGTTTAGAAATGCACAGTAAAAATATCAAAACAATATTTTAAACTTTCATAGTGAAAATATCCTGTGGTTAACAGTACTTTTAAAAATGCTAATAGTTTTTCATTCATATTTGGCATAACAAATACGATGATCAAAACTTAACTGACAGCTTTATTATATAGAAATGAAACATGATAGAAACAAAAGCTTTTGCTCATCTCTCTATCTGCCACAGCAGTGCACAAGGATTCTCATCAGAAAACCAGTACTCCCTGATGTAGGTGCTGCATGCATAAAAATATCAGCATTTAAAAAACTTTTTCTGAAAGGATTACAGGGTCACATTCCAGGATCAGCTCAGAAATGAACTGGAACTATCCAAGCACAGAGTGAAGATATTTCTGTACCTGTGTACTATGAACATCTGTTTATAATACAGATAATGATAAGGCACTCATACTTCTATACCATCTGAAAACACTATTAGATGATCAGGCTTTTATCTTTACCTCATGCTTTTATTAAAAAAGAAAAAAAAAGAAAAGAAAAAGCTACTGAAAAGAATGACCGAGATACTTATTAAAATATTAATCACTTCTAATTAAAAAGTAGAAGAATATCAATTACTACCCAGAACAGGCTACTGGATTAGGTTTAGAGTGCGTAATCCAAGACAGAGCAATATATGATCCCACATAATTTCAAAACTAAGGTAGCTTTGCAAGAAATCACAGTATTTGGGTTATAAATTCTGAGCTTGGGTTTCAAAAGGTCATGAAAAATTTTGTAGCTTTTGTTCAGAGAAATTGATGTAGAAACTAGTGTGTAAAATTCAATGGCTTACATTATGCTACTGTTAAGGCTAAATGCACATATTAGTTATTTTCTGGGAGGTGTGTGTGTCTGTTTACAACTCTCACAGTAAGGTGAACATAACTGGAGTGACTTTCACAGCAGCTCAGGTTTAACAGACTGGTTAGCCCATCCAATAATTTAAGGTACTATTGAAGAGAAACTTTTGTCAAAAGATAACTCATCATTATGAAGCATTCAGCTTTACTTCCTCTTTCTCTGAATTTACTATATTTTGTTTGTTTTCTTTTAGGACTAGTTGTACCCCAAAGAACATTGTAAAATCTTTACCCACCATTTTAATTAGTAAGCGTAGTAATTTACTTGCCCCGGGTATTCAGTGCAGACTTTGTTTGAAGAGCTTTCAACTTCGTCAGCATGTAAGACTCCTACCATGTAATCACAAGGTAAGAAAAAAGTGTTCTAAACATTGAAGAGTCAAATGTTCACATACCATGTTAACTTGTAGCACATCAGACTTCCTGGTGCTGACACCCTCCGGCACATAGTGTATTGGAACCCTTAAGGCACCACTGGTAGGAGAGTTCATGTCACTAGTCTGAAAGTTCACATCCTTGCTTAACTCTATGCCTCAGTCTTAATATCTGCTTTAAGGCACAGGCAGCAGAATACTTAGAAATGGCAGCTAAATGAATTTTTTACAAACCGACAGCAAGGAGCAGCATAATGAAATGGTCTGATACATAATTCTCTGCTAGTAATGAATCAGATTGTTCCTATAACCTGCATTCCTATTCTTGGAGCATTGGCAAGGTAAATAACATTAGAAACAAAAGTTGCATCAGGGATATGCTTGTTTTATGGCCATTAGTGACAATTCAAGTACTCTTCACTGTTATTTACTGTTACTGATGTTTAATTCTCCACAGAACAAATTCTAAATACTGTGGTACTTTTCCTTAGGAGCCTAGTTCTCTATTCATATCCTTCCAATTCTTATACATTCTCTAAGAACTCAGTAGCATCTCTCCAAGTAGGTCACCTTGAACAAACTTAAATGTTTACAAAATTTAAACCAGATTATTTTGGAAAGATTTAGACCCTCTGGGATATTGAAATGCTGAAATATTACCTGTTCAGGTTTGTTAGTTTATGAGCTGAAGCCAAAATAACCAGATTCTTTCTGTGCTTCTTAATCAGTGTCAGTTAGCACCTTCCCAGTATTTGAGAGGCACATTTACATCCTCTGAGCAGTTTGTAATTTCAAACGCTTAACAGTGGAGCTTTGACTTTTTTGCAAAAACGAGCCGAGTTTACTTCAAAGTTGGGGAGCCTTTTGAAGCCTGCAGCAAGTGTAATAATTTGGAAATACATATATTGCTCAGCCAACCTGTGAAGTTCATCCTTGGTAGTTTGTACCAGCACCCTTAAGCACGTTCACAGAAAATAGCCCTTTTCAGATTAATTTAACTCAAGATAGCTTGCCTGACCAGCAGTATTTCTTCACTGATGACACGACAGTAGTAATACAAATTCAAACTCCTTGCTGACTTGTAGGATCTTGGTTACAATCTCAGTAGTTACTGCCCTTTAAGTCCAGAACTGATACAGAACAGAATCAAAAAGGGGAATGAAGCTGAAAGGAAAGACTAACAGAGTCATCACTGTTTCCTTACAGTAGCGAATATATGTATAATTATATTATCTGATACAGTTAAGTGACTTGATATTTGCAGCACCCTTTGAAAAATGGGAAGTAAACCGCCAGTTTACAGCAGTCAGTAAAATTTTAACTTGATCTTGTCAGTGCCCAAAACTTAAAATCCATTAATTCTATACATAAGCAATATAGCCCCCTAGTGATCAGTGGAGCTCCTGTGGGTTTGCACTCTTAACATCAAAGAGACTTATTTGAATAACTGTTATATGCAAGAACAATTGATTAGTCCATATCTAGCTAAGAAATATTATGCAAGAGCTGACCTTCCTATCTTTTAAGTTTCATAGGGAATGTATTGACACTTGGCTACTGCAGCAAAGAAACACGTGTCCTATTGATGAATATGTTGTATACAATCCTCTGACTTTGAAGAATACGCCAGCCAAACATGAAAACTACCCAACAAGTTCTCACACAAATCTTAGCAACCTTGGAAAGGAAATGGAACCAGAAATTTGTGTATCTGGAAAGGGATTCTTTCTCAAGCAAATTTCATCTGAACAGGCATCAGAAATTTCTCAACATAGCTTCAGAAAACTTGCTAACAAAGATGTGCCAAAGTCCCAAAAGGATCTAAGATTTTTTAGCAACCTCCATTTAGGAGAATCCGATCAGAACAGCAGTAGAAATCTGAGTGATTTTTCCAAGCATAGTAAGGATTACGCTCTACACTATTTTGAAACAGCATTTTCTGGGAAGTCTAGCACCTTTAGAAAGGATGACATTCATACCGCTTCGAGAAGCCAGCAGCAGTCTGACTGTGGCAATACAAACAAAGTAGTTACTTCTAAAAAAGATGGCGGTAATAATTCCACAATTCTAAGACATCCCAGGGAGATGAATTTTGAAATCAATTTGTGTGCAGCAAGCCATTCCTCAAAAAAGGACAATAAGGATGTGGGAAACGCCAGCCATCAACGGAGTCTCCTAGCAAGACCACCATCTAAATATAATCACCTGAACTTTAAAACAGGAAAAATAGATTTATTATTGGAAGGAATTCCACTGCATACCAGCTCATGATTGTCTTGTTTTAGATAACATAGCTGTAATCTTACTTTTATACTCCACACACAGGACTTTTTAGAAACCAAGGAACAAGTTAATAAGTGAATAATCAGCTGTCTTGAACTGTAAGTACTACACAAATGCTGTGAGAAATGTTCATATTAGATCTTCTCAAATAAACAGAGGAACAGATTTGTCTGGTGTAGATGTATTTCAGAAAATAGCCATATACTTGTAAAATTACCACTATTTCTTATTTGCAAGTTCTTAACCTTCAATCAAATGAATTATTCAAATATAAGATGCAGAAAGCTTTTATATTCCTGAAAGACCAGTTAGGTAACGCTTCTCATTCAGAGGTGTAATCAAGGAAGCCAGCCTAATTTTAACATTGTTGCTGAAAGAAATTATGTCAGATGTGTTATTTTCAAATGTGCAATAGTAGAAGCAAGATGGAAAAAAAGACTATGTATAGTATCAGGTATGTTCTCTAAGATCTGATAGGGTTTCCTGATAGTTAATGCACAAAAGAGGAGCTAAGATTCCAAATAGTATAAAGGAACCAGCCATTTAGCCATTTTCAATCATGTACAGATGGCCAAGCCAAATAATTCCTGAGTCTAATGATTATTTCCTAAATGGTAACATAACTAAATTTTAGTTTTCTCTAAGGTCTAGATTCCCAATAAGTGTAATGAAGATTTAAACCTCAATATCTGCAATAGAAGTAAATATAAAGCCCGACTGAATGAGAAATACCTTTATTTCAACCCAGTTGCCAGCTGTTGATGAAACAGAACAAGAACATGTGCAATAAGAACCTGCCATTTTTGAAGTTTTATTCTGAGAATCTAAGAAAAATGGGAACATTCAAGCTTAGCCAGATTTGCTAGTTGACTTTTTCCAATTATCTTTCCTTATGTTTTAATAGAAGTCAAAGTGTGATAGCATGTCTAAAAACTTCTTTAGAATTAATAAAACACTATCATCTGCTCACACATACTTAAAATGTTATTTAAATGAATCATCTGTATAGTTTGTATTTTCTGTTTTCTATGTCAATGTAGAACAAGCTGAATTTCAGTCAATTTTGATATAAGTATTTGTATTTACAGATCAGCTGATGACCCAGCTATCTTATTTTTTCACAGAAGTGAAATATAGCAGAAAATACTGTTCTCTTTTGTTGAACTGGAAATAAAATTTGAGATTTTTTAATCTTCCTGTAGAGACAAAGTTCACTCCATCTATAAGTATCTAATGGATTTGCAATGGTTAAAAAAAAATATACTTCTCAGGCAGGTTGAAAATAAAAAAGTTCTTCTGTGGGAGTAAGAAGAAAACCAGTCGTTTACTAGAAGATTGCAGCTTCTCAGAGCATTAAAGGAGTGATCACAGAACACATACAAGTGTCCATCATGGTAGGAAAACCTTTGCCCAGTGCTTGCCTGCAATCTTGTAAGGCTTCTGAACAACTGCAAAAGTACCGAAATGTGGCTTTTGTGAATCTTAGAAATGAGAAATACTAGTGTTAGATACAATTAAGAATATGTTACACACTAAAGTTTAGCGTAAGCTCTTCTATATCACAATAGTGTCTTGTTCTCCTACCTGGATTTAAGTACTTTTGAGCTTATTTGTAGCTGGAATTGATACCTCTGTCTTATGCACTGTGCAGACAGAGAAATAATATTTTATTTGTTCTCAGAGCCACAGAAAGTCTCTAAATGAAAAAATGGAGAAGAGAGAGATTAGACATAAAAACAAAACCTGAAATAATATTCTTCTCTGCATACCCGTTTCCAATTGTAACAAAATCAATTTACACAAGGAATAATCTTATCTGTGCTAACCAAGAAACAGGAATCACATTTAATGTGGATATAGAAGTCTTTCTTCAGTAGAAATGTAACAGAGAATGTGACTGAATAAGAGTTGGTAAACTTATGGATAGCAACATTCTTTTGTCATTGGAATTATGGTGATGACAGAAAAACACATTTTTAGTGATATTTAGCAAAAAGTGTTAAGTGAGAGAGGAATGTTCCTAAACAACATATGACTTGAAAGACATTGAAATAAAAGTTAAGGCACCAATCACTTTTAAAAACTTTTATTATATTGCATAAGCTATAACATTTTACAAATCTTAGTTACATTTTCAGCAACAGATACACTGATACTGTAGTAAATAGAGATGAAAAGACACCTCTGACAAAATATAAAAAGGTAGAAATACTTAAAACCAGGATGCTGAATATCAAGAATGTTTTACATGAACAATATCCATACTAGAGTGTTTGAAAATGATTGCCAAGGTAATGAAGTGTTTGTTGAATATAAGGCTCCAATATTCAAGGTGGTGAGCACAGTCAGTGCCATCAGCTCACCTACCTTTCTGCATCTCAGAGCCACGCTTTTTATCAACTCCAGGCTCTAATGAGCACTAAAAAGTGCCTTTCTACACAATAAAATGCTGTAAAGATATTACTGTTCTAACATGGACTGAAGTGCAACAAGTGCTTCAACGGAACTGAATCAGTTAACTGGGGAAAAGAGTACCAGCACGTTTTGGGGAGGGGGAATACAGGAATGTTCAATAAGTCTTAAACTGACTGAAAAAAATCCATTTGGTAAAATAATTTTCAAGCTGAGAGTGCTAATACTAAAAATGACGACACAGTTTTCCCCTGCCAGTCTTAAAAAAAATTGAAGCCTTTTTTTTTTGTAATCAGAACACACTGAATACTGCATTTAAAAGAAAAATGAAGCTCAGATTAAAGCCATTAAAACCACCTTTCATATAAATTCTTTAACAGAAATGTAGCTGCCTACTCTTAAGAAGTGTGGCACAAATTAGTACAAACTACTATTAAAGCATGCTCATTTTTAACTCTGTAGGCATAGTACTGTGTTTTGCATAATTCCACTAAATTAAAAAAAATTAAAAAGCAGAAGCTTGGGTTATCTAAACAATGCAGGTTAGGCTCCAAATTGAGATAAAAATTGGTTCTGTAAAATAAGAATTAAGTACCTATCTCCATACACTTTTTAATTCTACTGGCAAAGAAGGTTAACAGCTGAAAAAAAGGATTTTTATCATTAGAATAGTTTAAGATATAAACATATATTTATTTTTGAAGTTAAAATCCCAGTCAGTTTCATACCTGTAAATCCGGTGACTTCAAGATGCTTACTCTTGACTTATGAAGTTGAATCAGATCCCATATGTGCGTTCTTACAAGACACTAGTGTTCAGATTGCTAAATATACATTTTTTAAAATTTCTTTTCAAACATAAAATACAAAGAAAACAGGGTTTACAACAATTACCATCATCAACATGCAGGAGTCAGTATCCAACATAAAAACCACTAGATCTGCCTTTTAAAACATAAAAGCTACATCATTGTAAGCATGAATTGAGGGTTTTTTTGGCTAACAGAAAAAAATCCATAATGTGCTGTTCAGATAGTCAGGTGTCCCACTGATAAAGCAAGTCTGATGAAAGAGAAAGGCACTTCAGCAGGCTAATCTACCTTCAGATTTTCCTAATACGCGGTACTAGACAACAGATGTCGTGTACAGCCTTTTAATTTGCACAGTGTTTGATCAGTAGTATTATTCGAATCTGTTTCACTTTTTAACTAATGAGAAAAGTTTAGACTGGTGCTCATTCATTTCATCCTCTTTGGTACAAATTACTGCATAAAAACAAAGCAGACAACTAAACATGTTCATTCCTACATCCTGGATTATTTTTTGTGCATCATCTCTAGCTCTACATTGGTAAATAATGTCTCTAATCATCAAATCAGTTGTGCTTTCAGGTTTGTAAATACCAGAGTTCTTTTATTTTCTGACAGTACTATAAAGATTTTTTCTTTGTAATCAAATGGAAATTTTAAGGGCTTCTCCCTTTGTTTTCTTAATTTCTATAATATGTGGCATTTGATAACAATCTGAAAATTACTGTCAATTAGCTTATTCTATGTAACATATTAATGTGCATACAGCTGTGTACTACTTAGCCTGATCAGTTCCCTTAATTTATGATACATCGAAGTACTGACCTGAGCCACATGAATTAATCTGCAGAAACAAGCCTTGGCTAACTCCATTAGACACCTTAGCAAAAACGGGTAAGAGCTGCAATTGGTATGCCCTTCTGCAAGGAGAATCTCAACATCATGTATTGCAACTATGGCACGGAAACTGTCCTGAAGTTTAGGAACCACCTTTCACCTTAAATATGACAAAATTTGGTCTTGAGTGTTCTGTATCGACCTAACATGTTTCACTTAAAACTGTACATACATATATGTGGTTTTTTTGCAAAATCTGACAACTCAAGAAGCATCTTGTGAAGATCTGAGACATAATTCTTACAAACATTTGTGTTCTTCAAGCAGAATAGATTACACAGAACCACAAATACAGATCAGTGTGGAAACAAGCATCAGAAAAGAAGCAAGTATCCTTTCCAATTTTCCCACTCCCCTTTCCTTAGAGGGGACTTGCTTTAAAGGTGCTTCAGGCATGGCACACTTCTCAAGGTAATCCTTTGAAGAGCAGTGTGCCACGAACGCAGGCTACTTTTTGTACAGATCTAATTTTAGCACTAGCATTTTAGCACTCTGTTAGCACTGCAATACTGAGCCAACAGAAGGAAAAAAAAAAAAACCTTAAGAAATTCAGTGAATCCTATGAATGACTCTGTAGAAAACATATAGATTCATATATAGAAATATATAAAAGCATTAGTTTGACCACAAAAACAAATTACATGATAAAGTTTTGTCTTTTCCACCTATGTTATGCATCATGGAATTATAATTTTTAGAACTTGCTGTAGTCAAACTCCTTTTTTAAATGGATCAAAAACCCTAAAGAATTCCAGTCATTAAGAGATAACAAAGGTTTCTAGTGCATAAATTCCAACCTACAGCTGGAACATGAAGACAGAGAATATAAATATGAAGCATAATTCTACTTATTTTACAACACAGTGTTTTTAAAATCCAAAATTTAATGCTCATGATAGGGCCAAGGAAGAATTTTCCCTGTCTTTGTGTGCTTAGGGGCATCAGCTGATTTCTTGTAACATTTATCTTTGCAGATACAACTGGAGCAGTAATTTCTCTCTACTGAATAGTTTTCCCATATTCTGACACAGAAAACAAGTTATTTAATTTTAATATAAAACTAAACTTTAGAAAAGCCTTTTTAAGTGTTACCAGCAGCATAAGACACAATGTGATAAATGCTAGCAAGTTACACACAGAAAAGTTGGCATATGGGATTTACAAAGCAAGCAAAGACAGCTGTTGCTTGACTGGCATGGGTAGAAGCAACAGCCCAAGACAGCCTTGGAAATGGCATTACCAGAACTGCGGCATGTGCGCACCAGAAAAGAATTTACATACTCCACTAGAAGAAATGCCCACACCCTCATTTGGCAAGGGAGGAGCTAGTCTCTAGTAGAGATACCAATCCTATATATGATGAGATGCCTGTTTTTCAGAAAAGTTTATTGTATCTTTCATCCCACTACTGAAAAGCCTAGCAACAAGAAACTTGTGCAAGAAGATCTGTTCCACGCTGACTTACTCTGTTGGCTAAAAGCTGGAAGTGCATCGCTGACGTACAGCCTTAAAAGGGGCCATTCTGCACTATAATATGTGCAAGGTAAAATTGTGACTAAATCCAGACAGCCAAAAGCTCCTTTAGAATGATGGTACAGAACCGAACTCCGCTCTTGGCTCTTGATCAGCTAGCAGAGCAGATGAGAATTTGCACTACATCAATACATCTTTTGGCACTGTTACTTCAAAGTCCCAAAGTTATAACTGATGTTTTCAACATTTCTAATCCTCTTCTTTGGTGACCAGATACCTACTCTGATGCAGAACAAGAACACTGGGGTGCAAAGCTTTGTTCCTTTGAATTCACATGAATAAAGCCATTTACAGTAGTCTGTATTTTTAATGATACAAGTACAAGTAAGTTTGAAGATTTAGGTCTTTTTGGTATATATAATGAAAAACTTATTTTGCACTTTTGTAATTGTGAACTCAAGAGGAACATCATATTTTGTTCATGAAGCAACTGCACACCAGAAGAAGCTGGACTGATGTATTGCTAGTACCATTCTGGTTACCTTGCATATTCTTCTATAAACAACACCGGACAACTGACACTCCCAACATAACAGACGTATTTCACAGTTACGTTTCCTGAGTAAATATTCCCAGAAGCCCAGCTGCATAGGATATTTCCCAACTCTTCAGTGTACTACAGGGCAGACAACTGAGTGCACCTTACCCCACAGTTCAGACACAGGCATTGGATGTTTGGGTCTTGGTATAAAACTTTAACCAAGCTCTAAGGGAAATATTTATAAAGCTTTTTAAAGATGATTTATTATCAAACCGCCAAAGCCAAAATGCTGGAACTTATTTCATCAGGGAAACAGCTTACAAGCCACAGAAAGACATTCTATATACTATATGAAGCACATTAAGGGATGCATCTACTTTTCTGTTAGCCAAAGTTGAAATGATCACTTTGACAAGATGAACATTAAAAATAAAGAATATTCTGATGGCCTTTTCCTTCCTCTATATATATATATCTTCATTACATCTCATGCATTCATGACTTTTGGTAAATTTAACTCTAAGATGAGTCATAAGTAGTACTTATATTGCATTATAGACCAAATTTTGCGATCTGCTCTCTCATGCTCATAAAAAAAACCCCAACTTTTAAAGCCTGTTTAATCCCTCTGAGATGCACAACCTAGACAAAAGAAGCTCAGGCTAGCAAAATGTAGGCACATAAACCTCCAATGATCTTCCATTTTTTAAAACATAAAATAAAAAGCAACAGTTACAAACTTTCCTACTAAAATGAACTATTTCAAGGACATAATTTGTCTAAACTTGCCTACTTTTTCATTAAGGGCCAAACTCTAAATTACAAATCTGCAGGGATTCAAGACTACGTTGTGGAGCACAACTGGCCCAACAGTATGCAGAGAAAAGAAGATTTTAACTGACAACAAAGCCAAAACAAGACACTGTCAGTAGCAGCACCAGCTTGGAATGCTGCCGAAAGCAGTCCTTTCTGCTGGATGTGGACACTTCATAGCAGATGCCTATCTTCAGCATCCACAGTGCGTAACAAAGCAGATGGGCAACATCTTAAGACAGCAGGAACCATGAAATGCAGCGGCCACAGAGCTTGTACACTTCCCTGTTCTGCCACTGCCATATGGAATATGGGTAACCTTTTGATCCTGGATGGGCACACAGGGAGGGCAGTAATGCTATAGAGCTCCACTGATAAATCCAACAGAGCTCATCTGCTGGTGTGGTGGGACTAGCTGATGAAACATTCTACATTATACAAAGTAGTAGTAACAGATCCCTAGAAAAGTTCACATACAAAATACTGTACAGATATGGTCACACTGATTAGGAACAAGGCTGAGGAATGGCGTTAACCACTCTACCAACACATTAGCAACAAGTACAAAAAAAATTTAAAGATGTGCCTACATTTCTCACCGTGCATTCCCAGAGGTGTGTCCAAGAATGACAGGCTAATTAAAATGTGGGCCTTCCCTAAACTGCCACCAAAATTAGGAACTGGAAAATTTTAATAGCAGCATTTCCCTGTTTTCAATTCACATTGAATATCAGTTGCCCAGCTGAACTTTAGTAACTCAATCTGTGTACTAAAAAAAATGTTTCTTGATACTAGAAAACAACATTCCCCTTGTAAACCCAACACTGCAGAATTACACAAGCAGCCAAGAGGGCAATAATCAGCAGGGAGAGCAACAACACAAAGCACATTGTGTTTTAATTTATAGGAATAAGCGGCCTCTCCTCTCTTTTCTTCCAGATATTGGTTTTGCTATCTCTTTTCGTGATAGGTGGTCTATCCCTTTTTTTAGCAGAAGGGGTACCAGATTCATGACTTCCTGATACAGTTTTTCTTCTTAGACCTTCTTCATCATGCTGTTCTATGACTGGCCCAGTACCTGCATCCAGACTGTGCCTCACAGCCTGGTCCTCTGGAGTGCAAACAGTGGTCCCACTTTCACTGCTACTCAGATCCAGATCTTCCAAGTAAAGGATCTTGGAATGCGGCATATTTTTAATGAAAGTTTTCTCTCTCTCCAGTTTCCTACTAGGATGATGCTCATTCATGTCCACACCAGAGTCCAGACTGGTATCGTTACTCTCTGTTTTTCTGCCTTTTTTCAGATCTATGAAAGAGTGCCTCACTTGAGCGATTGGCTTTCCGTCCAGGGAAACAAACCATGCTCGAGGGTGTGGACATGGTTTTCCTTTAGAGAGTTCCAATAATGTTTGTTCTGAAATACCTTGAAGTTCAGATGAAAACGGAGTCATTACAACTGCTTCATTCAATGTCCCAGGAACAGAGACAGATTCCAGTAAGCTGTTAGTGTACCGACCCCAGTTTGACGTTTGGGAAGGTAAGCCCTCTTCACTATCTAATGTAGTATTTTCATCTCTGCAGACAGAAGGCTGGGCATGAGAGTGCACTGGCATTTTTGGTAATGTCTGCATGTAATTGTCGCGATTCATGGGTTCCATCACAGGGCTATATACTAACTGCCCTTTTCTTGGCAAAGTTGCTGATTTTGCAGGATGCAATTGTTCCGGGGAGTGGAAAAGGTCAGACGTTTGAAGAATAGTAATAGGTTGATTGTAAATATGCATTAGATGTTCTGGGATATGGGAAAGCCCATACATCTCCTCTTTCAGTGAAAGGTATCGGGTTTGGTCTTGAATGTCCCGAGGAACCTGGGAAACAGCAGTGTTACTATGCTTTGGCTGCTGTAAGCGCCTAACTCCAGCATTAGGCTCAAGTGAATGGGCTGAATTTCTTGACTGACCAGTCTGACAGGATGACTGATAAGAAGCATCCTCTGTGTATATTTTAAAATTGTCTCGTGATTTTCCATCTTCCATGTTTATGGACAGCCTTCTTTGAGGGCTGTATGAAGAAATCTTCGGTGTATATAACTGTGACTTATCATCCAACTTTAAAGACCCTTTGACAGCACTGATGTGATTTATCTGAGTTGTTGATGTTGTCTGGTCTTTTTTTATGACCTCCAGCTTAGTTGTACTTTTTTCCTTCTTTTGTGTCCGACCACATTTATCCCTATGGAAAAGAGATGCAAGATGACTATAAGAGCATACTAGGAAATACCAGACTGTTGACTACCAGAGCTAAAGATTAGATTTTGGTTAAGAAGTTGTAGTGTAATGTGACATCACAAACTTAAAATGGTAATTTTTAGAGAAATATTAGGCTACCCATTATAGTTTAGCTAAGGAAACAAGTCTCAACTTCAAAAGACTATTTTATCAACCTTAAATTCCATTCATGCCAAGATTAGTAGCGGCTGTCTTTTTGCTTACCTGCAGTAACAAAGAAGAACAGCAAAAAATCCAATTATTATGACAACAGTACCTCCCAGTATGGCTGTAAGGAACACTGTGTGATAGGCTGTTATGTCCTTGGAAACCGCACTAATAATAGATTCTAGATTGTCAAACAAAACCAGACATTAATTAGTTCTTAAAACCAAATAATTCCACTTGATAAGCAGATCTGTAACTAATAAATTAAACTGTACTTTTCCACTGATTGTGTTCCTATGGCACTACATTCATCCTTCCCTTTTCACCTTGCTATTTCAGCGAACTACAAAATATACAAACAGTAGTTGCAATATAATACATCTTCAAAGGTTCATCTCAAGTATTAAAGCCTTAGCATGACATCTACTCAATTCCAGTCAAATTACATTTGTATTAGTTGTCCACACTGACCTAGAAACATGGTCTACATTTTCTATTTAGTGCTTCTGTCAGAAAGCGCTATCTGTTCTTACATTTTGACATCACATTTCTCCCATAAGAATCCCTTCATATGAGTTCACAAAATATGCAACAAGTCTACATAAAATAGTAGCCACTGGGACTGTTTTACCCAAAACTAATTTTCTTATTGTATTTCCTCCTGTCATACACAATCCTCAGCAGTAAAGGTGAGAGTCCTGCTGATTTTTCAATCTCCGTGGTCACAGTTCCCTTGCAGGCTTCTTCCAAAAGAGGGCGATAGTATAAACATGTAAATTCAAATACAGTCTGGACCTTCCTCCCTCTCATAGCATTTTAAGTCCTAGTAAATGGTTACATGCACAAAGGCACACTATCAGTGTTCAAACAAAAGTTACCCAACTGTTGAAATTGTCTGTCATTTTTCCCTTCCTGTTGTTAAATAAAGCAATCAAACTGACAGCCTTGGGATATGTTGTTACTTGAGTTATTCAGTATTTTTTTTTCCAGTTGTTTGCCATACCTCTTGTTCCAGGCAGTGGGGCTGCTATCCAGTAGCCTAAGTGTTGAGCAGTGTATGTCCATACTAATTGACCATCTGCTTCCTTCACCATTCCTAGCCCACGGCTTACCCAAGCACCTGGGGGAAAAAAAAAAAAAAAAAAAGGACAAAATATTGCACATGCCATGTAGCATTCTTCTATATCTCAAACCATCAGGAATTTAGTTATTATCAAAAATACACAAAGTCATAAGAAAAACTGACATTTCTAACCTATACAATATTTATTACACAGCTCTAGCTAAACATGCAAACTTTCTCTCTTGACAATTTCATTGCAAATATCCCTGTGTGGACATGTTCTTTAAAGCACAACATCATCATTACTTGAATGAATTTAATATAATTCATTTTCTATTAACAAATGTCTTTCATAGACATACACACAAATCATTTGAAAAATACTATTATCTGAGCTTAAGCACATATGAAGGCCAAGACCAGAAAATCAAGGAGTAGGTAATTTAAGCATATGAATACAACTTCAGCTAGCAGCACTTAGTGGGAAAGCATTTTAATCTTACAAGCTACAACAGTCTAAACAATGTTTGCCTTGAATGTTTCTCTCCTCCTTCCTGCCCCAAAGCAGTAACAGTTCAGAAGGTCTATTGTTAGGACACAGATTCCACACCATCTGTTTGGCAATGCAAAGGACAGTTGTTATGGTACGCCAGCTTCTACAATTAATCAAGCATGCAGTAAAATAGAATTATATTTAATGCAATTGAACACGTTTATTGTGTGCCATCTGTGAAATTCTAAGGACAGAAAATAACCTCATATAAACAACCTTACATTTTCAAACTGCAACTACTGAGAAGGAGAGAGAACCACCAGCTTTTTTAAAACAGCAATAACCAAAGCATGTAAAAAGTCTAATTCATATATGCCCTATAATTTCAGTTTTCCTCCAGGACCCTTCTTTCAGCAAAGCAAAATGAAATATCTACCAGACAGGAGATACAGATGAGAAATGACACATGCCGCATATGCGCACACGCACAGACACACATACACAAAATACCATTTGACAGTAAAACTTGCAGCCTTCTTCTGCTATTTGTGATGGCTGGCAGAGGGGAATAGCAGCAGCAGCCACCTAGAGCCCTGAGAGAGGTGGTTCTCTCCTCCAAACTCAGGAGCAACACCTGCCAGAAGTGTCTTCCATCCCTAACTCTCATATGAAGCCAACAACAAGAGATCCTCAAATTCTCTGTCCTGTAAACTCTAAGGCAAGATGTCACTATGCTGCAAAATTGTTTCACAATTATAGAGGGTGGCTACTTACAGGCAGATAAAAACAACACAAACCACCATGTATAAAAGGCAAAAAAAAGTCTAGGTCTCCAGAAGTTCTATCTTGACTGAATGAATCTATAAGAAGCTGTACAATCTTTGCTGTCCTCTTCAGTAAATTATATCTTCCCCAATATACTCCACAGAAAATAGTACGTATTAAGAAAAATATTAAAATGTGATTTATGAGTAAGCACATATTCTCTCTGATTTACTGCCACTCAAACAGAAGGATATAGTTCTCAATTAAATGTTGCAATGCAAACCTTTTTTTTTTCTTTTTCCTAATTCTATTCAAGTCCACAAAGTATTTTTGGTACTAATGAGTCAAAACATTCATAAAGAAGGAAGCCACATTCAATATACATCAACAAATTCTGCATTTATAGCAGCTGGAATATAAATACAAAAGCTCTTTTTCTAGGGATAGTCTCAGTACTACTACAGTTTGAGTAACCCCAGGAAACACTGCACCAGCAGACATGTGAAAGCAGTTTCTCTTTTTTCTGGTGTATACAGATCAGTCTGCGTAAGATCAAACACAGAGTGTTCCCTTACCACTACCAATACTGACATGGAAGCTCTGATTACCATTAGGACATATTGCCCCAAGACTTCAGAGTTTAAAAGTGTGTGTCAGCATCTTGCTGGGGACATCCTGCATGCCACACCTTGGGTGCCAGAGCCCAATTGTTCAGTGCCGTGGTAGCTCTCTGTTCAGCTCAGATGAGGGCCTACTGCTACTTAAGGATGCTCTCGAATGCTTGCTGGAGAGCTGAGGTGTTCAGCTCTCCTCAGTCACCAGAACCTTGACTAAGGCATGCCTTGCTACTACTCTGTTACCTTAGAAAAAAGCCATTTTGCATGTGTCAGATCAAAGGTAAAAATAAATCATATTTAAGAATAAACATCCAGAACAGTGAATAGTTGCAAATTTTCACTGTAGAGAAGAGATGAGGAAGTGGAAGTTAAGAGTTGTGCCCAGAAAATCTCTCTTCTTGGCCACAGTCCTATTGTCTTCTCCCCTCGCAAGCAGCAGTGAAGGCTCCATGCAAACACTACACCTCAGCGAGCACCCATCACAAACAATTTACCTTTACATAAGCTCGGTCACAGTACACCCCATCTGAGAGGAAAACCAACCGGTTTCATTGTTTTTATTGGGTCAGCATGCCATGCTCCTGCTCTACCCCCTAGGCCAACATTCCTAAGTAGGTATACTGAGTAGGGCCCTCAACACCCACATACACACCCTACACTGGTTTATACTCTAACCTGACCCCAAGCCGAGCTGCTCCAGCTCCGTCAATTTTTTGTTTTAATAACATTGTTGACCTATTCTTCTGTTTAGTGAGTTAAAACGGCTCATAAGTACAGATGAGCAGAGGAACTGGAAAAAGTGGCTGTGGCAGCAAGAAATTAAAACCCTTTATGCTATTTTACCATGTCAGACTAAAACCCTTTCTTTGATGAAGAAGGCTTTTATCAGCAGTTACTCCTGTAAAGTCTTCTACATGTACAGACAGACCTAATCTTCTATGCCAAAATTTATTCTATTCACTCTTTTCCCAAGAGACAACCTAGTCCATTTTTTATTCTTCATGTTCTTAATTCAAATTAATGTTCTTTGGTGGTTCTTCATTAAGATGATCAGTTTCTTTCTTGAACATGTAAACAACACTTTGTTAGAGTCTGTTTCCTCTCCTGTACTTCCAACCACTGAATAACAGCTTTTTGCCTTAATAAGGAGACACTTACCTCTTCACTCACTTGTATATTTCAAGACAAAGTGTGATGAAAAATATAAGGTACAATGTAGGACAATCAGTACACTGATGCACACACACCTAATACAGGACGTCTAAATGGGATAAGTGTATGTAGCTTATTACTCACTCCTGCCTAAAATTAGACATGAAGGGATGAAAAAAGGTTTACAATGTCTAAGCCCCAGCCTCCTCTTCCCATGCACACTGTAACAACTATGTTGTTCCCTTTGATAACTCTTATTTCCCCTTCATTTAACTTTCTGAATTGCTTTTGTTAACTGAAGTAATATCTATTCCAGTTTTAGTGTCAAAGGATCTTTAGAGATATCCTCTAGGAAAAAAAAAAGCATCCAAGTCTTCAGTTCTGATTTGCTTTCTTTTAAGAAGGCATTCACAACATTACCAGGCTTAAAATTTAACATCACCTAAAACGCATGTTCCCTGAATCCTTAGCCTCCTATGAAAATAAAAATACATTGCATTAAAAATGTGTTCAATAGGAATGCTAATTAATTCTACCAAAGCTTAATGAGAGCAGAGAAATTCCTTTGAACAATTCAAGCTAGTCAATCAAAAAACAACACAGAACCCCTAATAACATTTGTGACTATTTACCACCACCTCATATATTAGTGCCAGCACTGTTCTGTGACATACAGTGTCATGTGCGCAAAAGTATGCACATGTGTTGGAAGGTAGAATAACAAATAACTTAGCCCACTTACCAGATTTCATATCGAATGTCCATGCAGGTATAGCATCTCCTGATTTTACAGTACTTGTGGGAAGAGGAAGAGTAATCTGAATGGGACCATTTACTTTCAGTTCTTTCCCAGTCAAAAGAACACTTACACATATTGCAGCAAGAGGAGCTAATTCCATGCTTTTGAAACCTGAGTGTGAGAAACATCTTGTCTGTAATTCTCCATTCATAGTATATTTTTAAAAAAATATTTAGAATTAAGATTCTACCCTTATTGTAACTAAAGGCAAGCCCTCTTTTACATCCACAGTCAGCTGTCACCAACTTGGTCAAATAAAAATAAACAATTCTTCTCTTCTGGACTTGTAAAATCTTGTGATTAAAATAATAACCAGTCATTTCTACACCAAACCTGTAGAAGAGAAACAGATTTTTGACATATAGGTTCAATGCTGACTGTAGAACCAATGATTAGGCAAAATGTGGCTTGGCTGTGGGGGAGTAAGCGTTTTTCCCCCTCAGATAATTTGATTACAAAATAGCTAACCTATGTGAAATATAGATTATAAGGATTTTTGTATAATTGCAACATATGTAAAATAGAATCAAACTGAACACGTGCAAATATATGACTGCTGCATTTCTCCTTAGTTGAACAGTTCTCTTAATAGACTTTTCTGTAAGGATTAACTTTCTAATTTGGCAGTTATAATTACCTGAATAGCTAATCATGAGGCTTGTCAAAGCACTCAAAGTAAACGTTGCACATATGAAGTTTTACAATGCAGCCTGAAAGTTTGTTTCCTTTGTTTTCCTCACACTAATTTGCAAACATTTCAGAATGCACAGTATGACAGGATGGTGAAAGAAGCTGAAACAGAATTAGTAAATACCAGAATAATGTAAGATCTATGCAAGCTGTTAGAAGCTGGTTGTGAGAAACCTCCTGGTGCATCAGATATCAATTAGCTTCCACCTGCCCTAAAAGGAAGCCTGTTTCTTTAGGAGTGTATGAATAATTTAAAACACATGCCAGACAGACTGAAAGGAAAACTCAAAGGGGAGAAACACTGTTTACTCTCTTATGCTTTACATTTAAAGAGGTGAAATGTAGATAAGAAAGGTTATAAAATACTTAGGTCGAGACATCAATATATATGATGATTTTAATTCAATGCAAATTAAAGAAAAGAGCATGATGAGTTCAAATAAGCCATGCAGTGGCCTCCTCATGCACCACAATGAATTTAAGAGCCTCATGGCTTCAGGTCCACTGGGAATAGAAAGAAAAGAACAAAAGAAAGATGGAACTGCACACAGTATAATCTACCAGAGATTACTGTGTTTATGCAAATTAAAAAAAACCTGATAGAATGACAAATACTAAAAGATTCAACTGCATAAGAGCAGAGTTAAAATTATTCAAGAAACCACTTACTGCTTCCCCAGGAAAACAGATGCACAGACAACATTATTACAGTTGTGCTCTGCATACACAGTGACTACTTGGTTTCAAACAGGCTTACACAGAGGAACAGTCTGTGAGGCAAACTACAGCTTCCATACAATCTTTATGTTTAGGTGTAAAGCTCCTAGAGCCAACCATTCTAGTGAAAATGCAGAAAACCCCACAGCTGAAGTCAACTGCTGCAGTTTCACTGATTTCTTTAGGTTTACCTAGTTTATGCTCTGGCCATAACCGTATTTTGAAGGTGTTTATTAAAGCAGTTCCACAGTCTCATGAAATCCTGAACATACACATATATATATACACACACACATATATAAATATTTATAAAAAGCACTGAAGGAATATTTCAGTGTAGTAAGAGAAGTTATGTTCTTATATTACATGGAACAAGATAAAGAGTTACATCAATTACTTATCTGATGTGTTTATAGCTTACTCCTATAGAATAAAGCTTTGTGATTTAATGCAATGGAAGCAGATTCAGGCCCTTTTAATTTAAGCGCATGTTCTTCTGAAACACTGTGCACCCATGCGCACTATAATTTGAAGAAGACTTCTTTTAAAAAAGTTCTCAAACAACGTATTTACATACCTGATTTATTTAGAAGAATCCCTGTTGTATAGAGAAAGCTGTCTACTTTCAAAAATTGTTCTGGCACTGTCAGATAGGCTGTAACATTTGTAATATGGTGATTTGTTGGAAGCTTTATTAAAAATTTTGGAAACTGAACGCTTGGTTGAGATTTTGCATCTGTAAAAGAGTAATATGTTGTCTTAGCGATGGTAACACTGTTTTTATTATTGCTCAGAAATCCATTTAGCATAACAACCTGTTTTCACCCATCTTCTCCACAGTTTGTGTACTTACGGTTTAGCATGTGTCCTGGCCACACATACAGCTACAAAATTAACTGAAAATCTGGCTTTGAGTAGATAAGTATTATATGAGAATATGAACATGCTTAGGTTTTTTTATATGTGTACAGATGGTTATCACAAAGTGTTTAGATTATAGTCTGCTATAATGAACTTACCAGACAGTTTTCCAGTAATTAAGACAGTATCTTCAAATAGCCATATATTAGCTTGACTTTGTGGGAATAATGAAAGCGTCACAGATGAGTATACTGTGGAAAGTGAGAATATCTGTTACACCGTGCAACCGAAAAAATGCTGTCAGATCTCTGATTCTAAAAGAATAGTGAATACAGCAGTTAAAAAAAGAGATTATATGAAGACTGGATAAATAATTTACTCCTGTTGTCCAGGGCAGGAATTGTAGTGATTAGCCAGGAAGACTTCTGTGCTATGTTTGATACTGTATTATGCCTGCTATGCACAAACAAGTGGCTAGAATTCTTGAGAGTCTATCTCTTTAAAAAAAAAAAAAAACACCTAAATTTTTTAAGAGCATGCAATAGTTAAACAGGAAAACTTGTGAAGAAACACTGCTGAAAGGAAGTTATAACAACAGGTTATTCCTGTTATACAGGACTCAAAGCACTGGCACTCCAGGAATCACTGAAGACATGATTTTTGTCAAAACACACTACCAGCCCTTTGCTAAGTTTAGGTAAACAAATTCTCAGAATGCACTCATGGTATTGTAATATAACCTAGAGTTAAAAAGGGATATTTTCTGTTTTATAATAAGAAGAATTTTGACAAGTCTAACAGATCATTCACCCTTACATCTGCATTGACAGGCACCACGTCCCTTGACTGACTTCATTCAGTCATTTTCAGTTGACACTAACTTACCAGACTGCTGAGGAAGAGCGAAATTTAATTACCGACAGATACAGTTTAATAATAGGACAGTAAGAAGCTTACATACTTGGCATTCTCCCAGTCTTCCAAGGCAAAGGTGTTAACATGTAGCCATCCTTGTACGATACAATAGTTAAACTTAATCCTAATTTGAAGGGAACTTTTATTAATACCGCTCCATTGTTTCCAGTAAGAGTAGAATTTGTCTTCGTGTAGTTAACAAACACTTCTACAACCGCTTGTCGCAGGTACTGATGACTGATGATGTCATTTACTTGAACTTTTAGTGTAAAAACAGATCCTATTAACAGAAAGAAAAAAACAGGAGGTTGTAATACACCATAACTAAGGACCAAACTTGAATTTGCAAAGAAGCCCTAGAGTTTATGCTTTAGCATATCCGCTGTATGGTGGATCTCTATCTCAGAGGGTAAGCTGTGGCCAAAGGGAGGGGTAATCATACAATTATATACCACAGAGAAGAAGGAAGCAAAAAACCTTGAGATGGGGCACAAAGATGACAAAAAAGTGTTTACCAAACTCAGAAAACATCATGAGTTAAAAAAACCCAAACAAACAACCACAAAAAAAACCCCAAATTACAAATAATTCTTCCCCTTTTTGTTTAAGCTTGAACAATGCATCTGAGACAGTAAGAGATTCACTGTGCCTTGCAGGTGCTCTGCGATACCACACTGATACTACAGCTGGTCTTGTTATCCAAGGGTAACTTTTGGCTTGGGTCACACATTTAAATATGCACCTTGAGCTTCCATAAACAGAGAACCTAATGACTACGTACTGTGGGGTAACAAATTTATTTTTACATGTGTAAAATTATTGTAAAAGTAACCAAATGAATCCAGACACTGACTGTTTTCATCTATTATCTCCCACCAAATTTATACTATATGGTCTAATTTCACCTTTCTGTATGGGAACTTCTAAACAGTATTTGCCTAATGCTGATTAGAGGATCTGACATTCCTTTATGATACCTAATGTCTTGCAAAGATCATAATTATAGTGACTGATCAGTATGTTGAAAACAGTAAGTTCACTTGAACAAGGGTCTCAAGACGCTGTGCATTACACTCAATTTCACTCCCACATTCATTGTAAAGAAACTGTTAGGGAATCATTTCAGCATATACATGAAAATGGACAGAATTCCATGTTATTTCCAGTATGAAATTAAGTTATTATCATAAATTAAACTATCTATGGACCACTGATGCAAAGGTTTCAAATAACATAAATTTTCCAGCATTTTGGCTACAGACATACTACTATTCAACACCACTGCACTACCTTATACCCAAAAATTTCCAAATACATTCCTTACGAATATGCATTTCTATCTAGGTCATATGTCAGGCTAAGTTTGTTGGAAATTTCTCTACATAAAAATATAGTTCAATTTCATTATGTTACCTCCTCTATAATTGAGATTGACATTGCACCAAGAGATCACTACCGTTGACCTTGATTTAAATGAAAAGGCCTCAAGAAGCTGAGCAGAATCCATCAAAAAAACAGTACGTAGTGAAGACATACAAGTGGGGCCTCTCTGAAATAAGTATTTATTTAGATCAATTGTATTCATGGCGCACACTATATATTCAAGCAAAAAAATGACCTGGCCACAACAAAAGCTACATTGGCCTCAACTTATTACTATTTGTTGCATACACTGCAAAAACTTACCAGCTGTGCCAGTCTGATTCTCTACAGTGTTTAGAAAAATCTACATCTCCTTCTGCAATTAATAGATACTAAACAGATCTTGCAGGCATTGATCCAGTTACACATACACCAGCATGATTCCAGTGGTTTCTGAGACTTGGAAGACAGGTCATTTGCCCTTGGCCAATGACTATTTTAAAGGCTACTCAACAGGGAAAACAGACTGTATACAATATCCTGTAATCATTCAGAAGGCAGGAGTATCTCGTGAAATGGTGTTTAAAAAATAAAAAAAATCAGTAGTACAGAATTCAAGCTTATGCCAGTAGGAACCAATACCAGAAACGCCTGGTATAAACTAGTATTTTAACAGCTGGAATCAACTCACGAAAAAAAGAGCCTAGTATTAACAGCTGAAATAAGTAAAAAAAAACCCAAAAACCTAGAACGTACTCAGAAATACACTTTTAGTCATTTCACACTTTTATGTGCATTTTTCCATTTCCTGCTAACAAAAAGCCTAATGAAAACACAAGGGTGGGGGAGCTGCTACATTCCTCCTCCAGCTGTTAGCAAATTCAAAGATTATTTTGTGCCAAAAAAATTTCTTCCTCTCATCTCCTTCAGTTACTGTCACATTAAACGCCACTTTTTTAGAATCCTTTGGCTGAAAAAAAAAAAAAAGACTGCTATGTAGAAAGCTATACTATTTTCACTCTTTCTCATAGTGAACTGACAAATATTGGCTGCTTCCAGCTATGCTCAGCTTTCATTACTTCTTTCTCCTACAGGTTCAGGAATTGCCACAGCATTTTTCAGAACAGATACTCTGCCTGAAATGGTGTTGAGAAGACGCAGCAGCACAGTTGTGAATGCAGACTGAAATCCTGGGGAGGGGGTTACCGAGACAAAGGTTCCCATGTGAACAGACACAGTCTTACACAATGCACGCTCTGAAAGAGTAATTACCCACGTATTACTGTTGTATATAAGCAGTGGTTACTTGAGTGAAAAATGCTCACTTCACACCCACTAATATTAAGACCAAGATTAAAGGAGACTCGATCCCTAGTGCTCACTGCGTTTGGCCTTGTCTTTTGTGCTAACACTAGAGTCTTCCTGACAAGAGAAAGTATGCCAGCCAGTTGGAAGTTGCTCCCTCCCTGCAAGTAACATACATGAGCAAATAATTTAGATTTTCTAATATCCACCAGAATATACTCTGCCAACAAGTCACTTCAAGTTTGAGTACAACAATTTTGGAAAGACTCTTTTTTAAAAAAGATCCTTCAATTTCTCAACAGTAACAGTGCAGAAGAGATGAGTACACAATATTGTGCCTCTGAATCCAGATGCTAGTGGAATGACAATATGTAAAAAATTCCAGTTAAAAAAGCCAGATTCCAACAGTAACCACAATTCTCCTCCCTCACAGCCATGTTTCACTATTGTTTTGTATAAAACAGAGTGTACCAGAGCATCCTGCAGCAGGCCAGCTGTAACACCCTAGTTAAAACCAGAACAATAAGGTCCTAAGGGCTCAGACTGTGGGCACAGTGGTAGTCCAACATGTGTGACTGATGTGTATTTTTCCAAACTTGATATCCCTTGACCAACTCCCTCCTCAAACCAACTCCTCACACGCCTCGCATGCATTTAATGTGCAAATTTATGAGACATCTTTAATGGCATTGAGTTATTAACAATGTCATATTAACACTCATGACAACTAATTTGCTAAGAAAATCCTGCTTTTTTTTTTTCTTTTTATAAAGATCTTAATGCACAAGTCCTTAAGGACACTTCTAGGTCTCAAATATGATAAAGACTGCAGTAGGATTTTTTCACCACAATCAAATGTACTGGAAAACATTTCAGATGCAAAAATGAACTGTTGGTTAACTGTCTAACAAAACCAAAGGCTTTGATTTATATCAAACAATACACTCAACTTGTGCTTTTTTTCTCATCACTAACACTTGCCAAACACAAGTGGGTCAGCTGTATCTCAATATTAAACAGACTTGACAGAACTCCTACAATTAGAAGAAAGAACTGAGTCTCAGCTAATTTGATTTGTGCTGCCTCAGAGGAAGGGAGATTTGTCTCTTGGCAAGTCCATTGGAAATGCCAGCTTCTACGACATTTAAACGTTTGCCGATAAATGCTCATACAAATGCAGCAACTATTTAGACAAAGGGAAACAAGCCCTTCTACCACATTTAGCTATTTCAGAAATGTCACAGCCACTAAAATGACGCCTCATTTCTTCGAGCAATATCTAATGCCTGGAATTTGGCTTCACATCACTGTCCTCACTCAGAAATCATATTAGAGTTAAGCCAAAGAACTGCTTGAAATTGCAATCCATGTACAAAACATAACAGAGCAAAAACATCTCTCTTTATAACACCCCTATGTAACTTCTTAATTCTTTACCTGCAGATAAGCGTGTTGTCTGGTTACCATATTTATCTGAGATTTAATTAATATGGTCAAGGCCAGAGACTGTATAGGCACCTATATATTCCCAACTACACGTGTCATTAACTGTGAGATACAGCAGTGAACACACAGACACACACACGCAGAGCACTGCCCAGGAAGCATTACTACACATTCTGCAACCCACTCATAAGTCTCTTTTCCTATTTATCACCAAGGTCCTATAGCAAAAGAGGTTCTACACCTTGAAGGAGGCAGTTACTCTTCTCAAACACACAGACAACCACCCAATTAAGCAATTATCTTATGGAGTGGAGGGAACAGCAACTACAATTAAATTATTCATTAGTTCCTTCCTTCAGAGGAGACTTTTCTCATCCTTGCCTAGAGATGTTTAAGCCCATGCCAGAAAAGGCACATGCTTACATGTGTTTTATGGAAACTGCCTACACCGTATTACCACTCTCCCAGCTAACTAGACAGACAAAATGTGTGCTGTGCAATTAGCTTGGTCTCAGCTGACTGAGCAATCATTTTTCCATCTTTTACACTTATAGAACACCACGTTTTTTGGCTTAATATAATTAGGGATATGAAACGTGCATTGATCTGTAAAGAAGTCACGTTTTAAGTATATCAGGTTTTACAACACACGCAGTATTGCAACTGATAGCACCTAGGGCTGAAATGAGATAAATAATCTAAACAGTCAATACACATCTGGCTTTAGTAAAAAAAAAAAAGATCATATAAAAGCAATCCTCCTGCCCACAAAACCCAATCATTACTTCTTAAAAATTCCTTAAAACTACAGTAATGCCAGTGACAAACTACAAAAGCATATCTACAAAAAGTAAAAGCCTATTATACTTTTAAAGCTCATTAAAAATCCATGGACATGAAGGTGAGTTGTGGCAGCAACTAACTGACGCAGGAATGATTTAATGCTGAAGTCAGCCCTCCTCACCACAGCACACCATCACGCTGCACTCTTTCCTTTATG